CAGAAAACAAGCTTGCTCCCTCCTCCCTATGACTTCATCTCACATATTTATACATGGCTAGCATGTCTCCTCTCAGCCTTCTCTTCTGCAGGCTAAACATGCCCAGCTCTTTAAACCGCTCCTCATAGGGCTTGTCCTCCAGACCCCTGATCATTTTAGTCACCTTCCTCTGGACAGTTTCCAGCTTGTCAATATCTCTCTTCAATTGTGGTGCCCAGAATTGGACACAATATTCCAGGTGTGGTCTAACCAAGGGAGAATAGAGGGGTAGCATGACTTCCCTGGATCTAGAAACTATACTCCTATTGATGCAGGCCAAAATCCCATTGGCTTTTTTTTTTGCCACCGCATCACATTGTTGGCTCGTGTTTAACTTGTTGTCCACGAGGACTCCAAGATCTTTTTCACACGCACTGCTCTTCATTTTTTCAACCGAAATGGAGTATTTTGCATTTATCACTATTGAACTTCATTTTGTTAGTTTTGGCCCATCTCTCTAACTGTCAAGATCGTTTTGAATTCTGCTCCTGTCTTCTGAAGCATTGGCTATTCCTCCCAATTTGGTGTTGTCTGCAAACTTGATGATCATGCCTTCTAATCCTTCATCTAAGTCATTAATAAAGATGTTGAACAGGATGGGCCCAGGATGGAACCCTGAGGCACTCTTCTCATCACTTCTTTCCCGGATGAAGAGGAAAAATTGTTAAGCACCCTCTGGGTTTGTCTGCTTAATCAATTACAGATCCACCTAACCGTAGTTTTGCCTAGCCCACATTTGACTAGTTTGTATGCCAGAAGGTCATGGGGGACCTTGTAGAAAGCCTTTCTGAAGTCCAGATACGCTACATCCACGACATTCCCTGCATCTACCCAGCTTGTAACTATCGAAAAAGGCTTTCAAAGGCTTTCATGGCAGGAATCACTGGGATCAAATTAGTCTGGCATGGCTTGTTTTTGATAAAGCCGTGTTAACTATTAGCAATGACTGCAATTTTTTCTAAGTGTTTCCAGACCACTTCCTTAACAATCTTTTCCAGAATCTTGCCTGGTATCGATGTGAGGCTGACTGTTTGGGTCATCCTTTTTCCCCTTCTTGAAGTGTTGTTGATCTGGCCCTGGGGACTTGAAGTCGTTTAAAGTGGCAAGGTATTCCTGGAGTTCTGCCTTTTCCCTGTGAGCATTGCCCCATCTCCTTGAAGAGGCCCTTCTTCCTTCTTCCTCTTTCTACTGACATAAGAAAAGAAGCCCTTTTATTGTTTTTAATGTCCCTGGCAACCCTGAGCTCATTTTGTGCTTTAGCCTTGCGAACCATCCCCACAGGAGTTGGCTATTTGTTTGAATTCTTCTTTGGTGATTTCTCCCATTTTCCACTTCTTGTACATGTCTCTTTTGAGTCTTAGGACAGTTAGAAGTTCTTTGGACATCCATTCTGGCTTCTTTGCACTTGTCCTATTTTTTCTCTTTGTTGGCACTGTTTGCAATTGTGCCTTGAGTATTTCACTCTTGAAAAATTCCCGTCCACCCACAACTCCCTTATCTTTTAGTATCTGTGAGCATCTGTGTCCATGGAATAACAGTGTGTCACCTCATAATGCATTATACTAATCCAAGGTGTTCCAGGGTATATTTGCATTATACTAATCCAAGGTGTTCCAGGCTATATTTTTGATCCACAGCATTAGACCATAAGAATGGGATCATGAACACTTAATAGAATCCTTACTCATTTTCTCTCTGTTTAAACCAAAGTTAAGCAGTGTAAGGATTCCACTACAGCAATTAAATTCTACCACTGCATACTAGGTCTTTGTAACTACATAATATGAAAGCATAACCTCCAAATGATGCTGAACTGAAACTCCCAGCAGTCCTACTTGGCATAGTTAATTGTGAGGAATGCTGGGAATTGCAGTCCAGCAACACCTAGTCTGAACTGTCTATAAAACCCAAGATGACTAAACTGAAATTGTTGTTCTTTGGACATATGAGAAGACATGATTGACTAGAAAAGACAACAATGCTTGGTAAGGTTGAAGGCAGTAGAAAAAGTCTGCATTATAGATGGATATACTCAATTGATTGAGTATATTCATCTTAATGGAAGCCATAGCCATAGCACAAAGTGAGAAGAACTTGGAAGGGATGGGAGCAAGGTGGCGGTGTTGAGGAGTTGTCCATCTCTCCGTTGCCATGGACCGACCACTATCTGGTCAGCTTTAGACTCACTGCACCTCCCAACCTCTGCAGAGGTGGGGGACCCATTAAGTTGGTCCGCCCCAGAATGGATTCCTGACAGCTCTTGGGGATTTCCCGGCCACCTCAGTTGGTGATTCTGTTGATGCCCTGGTATCCCTCTGGAATGGGAGAATGACTAGGGCAATAAACACGATTGCTCCAGAACATCCCCTCTCAAGTAGCCGAGCTAAACCAGCGCCTTGGTTCAACGAGGAACTGGCAGCGATGAAGCGAAGTAA